AGCATCAATTACTAACAAAGATAATGATCTGGAAATTGTATCATCTAGAAACAAGTTTATACATTATTACCGAGCATTCACTTCTATATTGGAATGAATCAAAATGCATGTTACAGTTAGCAGCAACATTCGCACTAATCTTATGATTATGGCCTTCCTTTTAATGAAAAAATGTTATGATGGAAAAAGACAGATTTTTTTTTTGAGAGGGGTAATTAAGTCATAAAAAAAGACAAAGAGATACAGGAATACAAGGGGCATTCCCCAGGCTACTATACAAAAAATATAACCAACAGCCAAAAGAAAAAAGCCTAAGAAACTACAATAGAAATATGCCCAACAGCCTAAGCAACTACACTAGAAATAAAGTCTAAAAAAGTCTAAACAAACAACAGCAAAAAAGAAACCCAGAAGACAATGACAGCAGGCTATTAAAAAAGCCCAATCTGTTCAATTACCGCATATGAAAAATGGGGGAATTGAACAAAAACAAAATCGAGCTAATATAACCACACAAATGACAACAACCAAATAAAGTACACAATACCACACAAGACCTATACAAAACCAACAATCTATATAGATAACAGGCAGTAAGAACAGATCAGCCCATGCATGTAGACAACAAGCAGACAGCAATCAACAGAAACAACTCCAGCCTGTAGCACTAGCAGGCAGCAAATAGACAGCCAGCACAAGCAACAACAAGCAGACAGCTAGCACCAACAATCTCACAAACAGAAAAGAATCACAAGAATGTAGATGGAAAAGAATATAAAAAACCAGCAACCATTCAACTTAATCAAGCTAGGAATCCATTAAACCGAGGTGGACACCAAGCTCCAAGACACAAGAGCCTGAGAAACAAGGATCAAAACCAACTAATGAATATATACTGGACAACTCATAGAAGTCAAGCAATAAACCAATTCTCATAAAGACCTCCCATTCAACTCACACAGATACTCAACAGATAAGAGAAAATTTTAGAGATACTAGTTCAAAGACAATATAGGAATCTCACCACCACTCAACCCTCATCAAAAAACCCATATCCTATTATGAAAAACTCACTTACTTAACCCTCCTCCCTAACCTCTGTACTAGCTAGAACTTGCAGTAGGCAAACAATTAGAAACATATAGTAACAACTCAAGACAATATAGGATTCTCACCACCATTCAACCCTCATCAGAAACTCATATCTTATTTTGAGAACTCATTCATCATTGACTCAACCCTCTTCCCTAACTCATTGTGCCAGCTAGAACTTGCAATGAGCAAACTGTTAGAGATTTATATCTAGTTCACTCAACCTTCAGCAGCTTACATCACTCACACAAACCTACTTTAAGAGCTCACATTACTCAACTCTCCTCCCTACACAGAGACCAGCTGAGTTGAAGCACAACTTGCATTAAAAGTGAGTTAAAAAGAAGGATTTTCAATATGTGACTCACATCACTCAACCCTCATCAAATATACAAGCCATACAGAAACCTGCACTACACACAGTTAGTAATAGCTTTGATTACAGAAACAGGCAAAGACCATTCTTTCAGGAACCAGTCATTAGATAAGTTAGATTTGAAATTCTTGATAGATAGCACCCTGTATCTGACCATATCCCTTATCCTACTAACAATGGCCACCTCCTTAAAATTTGTAAACTTAACTACTTATTTGAATTTTTTTTTCTTTCAAACTTCCCTTGAAGCGTAATTTCCCTAATAATTTACTCATGAAACATGAGAAATATCAAAACTTTTCAACAACAAATTTCAAACAAATAATAAACAAGGCAGTGATTCAAAGTCAAAAACTAACATTTAGTAAACAAACATGTGCAATATAAGAGCCAAACCAACAAGATAAACCCACAAAACAATAAAAATAAATAAATAAACTTACCAAGCTTGACTTCACCTTCTCCACAAACTCAATGTTCTTGAAACTCTCGAAAATCTCCGAAGATGAACTCTTCTGCTCAACTAGATATATATATATGCATTTGAGAGAATCAATGAATCAAATTTCATGAAATTAGAATTTCAGAAAATTAAATTAGGGAAAACTGAATTCCCACAACAAAATCTGTTATCAACAATTCCACTACTTGACCAAATCTGGTTATACATACATACATACATACATACATACATATGTGTGTGTGTGTATATATATATATATTGTATACGTAGTGAAAGGGGACAACAATATATATTGTACAATGTTTGATAAGCAGGTGTTAGGGTTTTTAGGGGGATTTGCTAAGGGGGGAAAAAGGGCAGTGGAGATGTCACGGGTTTAGGGAGAGGGGTTCAGTGGTATGTTTAGGGAAAGGGTTTAGTAGGCAAGGGGATGTGAGAGAGAGAGAGAGAGAGAGAGAGAGAGAGGAATATAAGGAAAGAGAAGAAGAGTTCCATACCTGAAATTGTTTGAAGAGAGGAGAGAACAAGGTTGTTAATAAAGGCACGAAATGGAGAAGACAAAAATCGTCTTTGCCTCTTCTTTTTCCCAGGAGGGTCGACTGCCGGTGTCAAAGAAAGAGGAAGAACATAGAGAAACAGAGGAAAACGCGATTGCTTTGTTGAGGAAGGAAGCAGACAAGTCAATGGACTACCGTGTTTGCCTCTTGATCTCCACCGATTCAATTGTTTGTAGAACTTTGAAGAACAAAATGGACTGTCGTGTTTGCCTCTCGATCTCCACCGATTCAATTGATTGTAGAACTTTGAAGAACAATGGTTGAAGAAACTATCAGTGTCTTTCAGGAACAAGGGTTTGAAGAAAATGGACTGCCGTTTATTCCCTCTCTTTCTTAGAAATTATTAGTGTCTTTGATAATAAAAAAATAAATTAAATATATTTTTTTTGGTAAGTGGCGCCGCAAATTATTGGGTTTTGGCGCCATAATTTTTTGGTCATACCATTCACGACATATATGGTGAGCCGGAAAAAGTGACATATTTTTAACGATCGGCATATGTTTATCGTATATAATTAATGTATTAACGAGATGTCATATATGTGTCATAGAAAGTTTTATTATTTACAGTTAAAATTGCAAATTGTAAAAAAATTATCAATTTTATCATTAACGGCCTACGCAATAGATACGCCGTGGTTAGGATAGTATTTATGACATGCAAAAAAAGTAAGTTGTAAAAGTGAGAAACTACAACTTGCATTCAGGCCTCGTTTGGGAATAGGTTATTTTAGTAACTTTTTGACTAAAATATGAGGTGAAAAAAACTAATATGTTTGGAATGACTTTTTAGCTTTTTACGAAAATATGTGCAAAAAGTAGAGAGAAATGAGAATCTTTGACTTTTTTGTAAAAATTGTTAGCTTTTTGATTTTTTTAGTAACTTTTTGATTTTTAGGCCAAAATAGCCACTTGCCAAACGAGGCATCATTGTATGTCGTTGATGTGGTGCCATAAAAAATCAATTTTGTTGTAGTGTAAATTTGCTCAAATACCTAAGGAAACAAATAGAGCACATCCTTTATGCTTCAGCAGTAGGGCGCCTCATGTATTATCAAGTTTGTACGCATCTAGACATTGCGTACGCAAATGAAATATTTAGCAAATATTTATGCACTTTTGGACTTCAAGTTGTAAATTATATTGAGAAGTCACTAAGAATTTATTGTGATAATAAAGTTATTGAACATTATTCTAAAAATGACAAGAGTTTGTCAAAATCAAAACATATTGACATAAAATTTCTTATCTCAATGAAAATAGTTCTGAATCATCATGTGTCAATTGAGTATATTAGGACAGACTTCATGATTGTGGATCCGTTTACTAAGGACTTACCACATAAAGCGTTCAAGGAGCATGTAGCTCATATGAGAGTAGTTAGTTCTAGTGATGTGTTTTGTTAGTGGGAGTTTATATTACTCTTTTTTTAGTTAATTGACACTTGTAATGACGACTTTAAGTTTTTGGACGATTCTCAAATAAAGATGTATTTTTTTTATTGTGGTTAAACATAAAGTTTGAAAAGATAATACATGAACTCTTTTGAGTTATAAAGTCGGACCAATTGGAAATAGATATGATAAGGGATCATTTTTCATAAAATTTTCATGTTACACATCCATACTTGATCTATGTCATTGATAACCCAAAGTAGCGACCAAAAAAATTGGTCGCGGATAACTTTTGCCGACCAAAAATTGACTTTTAGCGACCAATTTTTTTGTTGCCAAAAGTGTTAATTCTTGTAGTGATAGATGGGTCTTGCAGCGATAAATGTGACAAATGCCGCTATGATAAATTGATGTCTTTTAGTGGACTAGATTGTTTCAGAGACGACGCTAATAAATTTTAACAGTAAAAGTTTGAACTCATAAAGTTAACAATATTATCAAGTTGACCTATATGGTCCAAGTGGGAGATTGTAAGGAATTTTCTGTAGGTGGGCCTACATAGATCAAATAATTATACATTATATACTGTTAAATGAAATATGAGTAGTGTCGGTTAGACCCATTAAATTATGATCCATACAGGAATATGATCGGGTCATGGACATGTCTCTGATAGCATATATTTTTTTATCATGCTATGTACATTAAAGGAGTATGGATTAAACCATATGTGTAGGGACTAGTTTATACCCACTTGTAATTCAATTTATTTATGATGGGCTAATATGGAATTGAGACTTTATTAATATGTGGTTAAGGTCCCCACTCCAACCCTAGCCTCCATCTCACATTTTTTCGTCGGTGTGAGAGAGAAACAAAAGTAGAGTCTGGAGTGGAAGATAATAACCACAAAGAAGTCTATTGCTTGGATTACCACCATCAATAATGTCAAGCACGCAACTATTATTGTTTTCTTTTATTGATTTGACTTAAAATATTGGGATTTAAATTTCTATTGAAATCTCACAATCTCATCTCCTCTCAACTGCTTTAATCATAGATTTTGTAGCTCATGCATTATGTAGCTTATGCATTATGTAGACAACTTCTAGTCTTGTTCAAACTGAAAGATACAAGTTCTCAAGCAACCTTGGCTTTGCTAGAGCAAATAGAGGTTTAGCAAGCAATAAGTCACTCACAGACTCTTTAAGCTCAATTTGTGACGCAGTGGGTGGCAAGTTCCAAGTGAACCCTTGGAGGAGCCTAGCCATTAGCATCACAGTCATGGTAGACCCCAGTGTAACTCCTGCACATCCACGTCTTCCAATGCTGAACGATAACATGCGCAAATTAGGATCAATGAGAAGAACATCCGAGCCATCATCTTTGAGGTGGCGCTCTGGTTTAAACTTGAGTGGCTCGTCCCAAACTCTAGGGTTTCGGCCGAGTCCAGGGCGACTTAGCAACACATGGCTACCATTCGGAATGAAGTAGTTGGCAATTGTGGTGTCGCAGATGGAAACGTGAGGAACGTTGAAGGGCGCAATGGGGTGGAGACGAAAGGATTCTTTCACGCATGACTTGATGTAATTGAGTTGTGAGAGATCAGATTCTTGAACTAGTCTTTCTTTGCCTACCACTCTATCCAATTCCTTAACGGCTCTTTCTAAGGTCTCAGATTGATTTATCATTTCAGCAAGTGCCCATTCCACTGCATTTGATGGGTTGTCCACTGTTGCTATCATCAACTCCTGTATATACATGTTTGGAATGATTTTAAAATTTTGACTTTTTATGAAAAGATACTTAAAAAGTAGAGAGGTGATATGATAAAAAAAAAAGGATAAAAAAGGGATAAATTATACAAATAGTCGCTATAGTTTACACGATATATCAATTTGGTCTCTGTTATTTTAATTTGCTCGATTTTGCCTCTTAATTTAACGGATTATGTCATTTTAGTCCAATAAATAACGATTGTTACGTTTGATGAACGAAAAGTCAAACTATGTGTCAATTTGGTCCCTATCAAAATTGAGCAAATTAAAACAATAGGGACCAAATTGACACATTGTATAAACTACAAGGACCAAATTAACACATTGTGTAGATTTTCTGTCCACCAAATTTAACAACCGTTATTTATTGGAATAAAATGACACAATCTGTTAAATTAAGGGACAAAATTGAGTAAATTGAAACAACAATGACCAAATTCACACATCGTATAAACTACAAGGACCATTTGTATAATTTACCTAAAAAAAAGTGTACTTTTGTTGAGGATGCCAAATAGGGCCTAATTTTAAGATCTCCACTGCATTTTCTAAAGATTTTCAAAGGGAAGATTTTTGAGACCCTAAAAAATTTCTCACAATTTAATCTACAATAATGTGGTCTGGTAAGTGTTAGTTTTTTATTAGTCATATACTCAGTTTTGCGGGGCTCACCACCTTTGCCACATCATTGTGAATGCATTCATAAGTGCAAAATACGAGTCTCTAGCATTGTTGTTTCCAAATACTCATAAAAATTTAACACTGTTCTCTCTGTCTCAAAATATTGCTCCCTTTTAGAAAATCTAACTTTTTTTTTTATAGTACAATCATTACATTTCAAAATGTTAAATTTCCAAAACCATCATTTGATTTAAAATTAAAATAGTACATTTTTTTTGAGAATATCAATTACTATAATTACACCGTTTGTTTTTTTTATAGTACAATCATTACATTTCAAAATGTTAAATTTTCAAAACCATCATTTGATTTAAAATTAAAATAGTACATTTTTTTTGAGAATGTCAATTACCATAATTACACCTTTTGTGCATATTAATATCAATGAAAGAATGGCAAAATATGAAATTCATGTTGTACTTGATTTTTAAAAAGGAACTAATATTTTGGGATAATAAAAAATGGAATAATGAACTAATATTTTGGGACGGAGGAAGTATTTTAAATTAAAAATAATCATACTGCAACTATATAATGATATAACAATATTACATCCTTCTAATTTATCACCTATAAATGATTTTTAATGATGTGATATTGAAGTTAGACTCCACAATGTTTGACAAATCAAAATTTAACACTTAGACACATCATTAGAGACGATTTTAAAGGATGATAAATTATGTGTCTTAAGTATTTTTGATAGTGAAAAAAGGGAAATTAAACATTGAGTTATACTTAAAAAAGGGAAATTAAACATTGAATAATTTCTCAATAACGATGACAAAAACTGGAAATAAAAGTGTAAAACTGTTGTACTTATTTCACCGACTCAAGAGAAATCATGATGTTCATGACCAAATTTATTTCAGCATTTAACTCATTTCCTAGATGTACTGGTGCCCTTTTTTGGGTTTTGATTTTTTTTTTTTTTCATATGTATATAAAGAAAAAAATTTAAACAAAAATAATATTTAAAATAAAATATCTATAATATTTTTGAAATTACAAGAACAAAAATGATTGTTTTTATTGAAATGAAGGGATCATAACAAGTCATATTTTTATATATGAAAATTTTGTAAAAAAAATCTCAATATAATGATAATATCTATAATTATTAATATATAAATATAATTAATCTCACTATATATATATATGAAAATTATTGAAATGTTATTTTTTTATTAAGGCTTCGTTTGGGAAGCTATGGTTTGGGCTTTTTTGGCTATTTTAGTCACAAAAAACAAAATAGGCTATTTTAGCCATAACAAACAAAACATCACATCCAACCCATAATCATTACATTCTTTTCTCACAAAAAAACTCAAAAAAGCCAAAAAGCTCTTCCCAAACCAAGCTTTTAAGCTCAGGTTAAAATAGCCAAAAAAATCAAAAAACCAAAAAACCAACCCACTTCCCAAACGGAGACTAACAATAAAACCTTTATTAATTAAGAATTAAGGTAAAACCTTATATCCAACATCAATAAAAAAGGAAACAAAGCACAAGAATTATGCTATAAGCATCAAAGCATAGACTTTAATTCTTAGGTTGCCACCAAAGAAAATGCAAAATCATCTGCAGCATAATACAGTGGTTGAGAAGAATTCAACCAAACCCAAGCAATGACAACACTAATAAAGGTACAATGATACAACCAGCAACAGGGTTATTTTATAAAGTAGGATAAGAGTAGATTTTTTTTTTTGACTTTCTATTTTAAATAAAATTGTAAAAAATAGAGAGGTAGTGTGATTTAAAAATGTCAAAAAACTAAAAAGCTAACTTTTAACTATAAGAAGTTATTGGTTGATCTTAGGTAGCACTACGTGGTATCTCAATAATGTTGTGATGGATGAAAAGATAAATACTTTATAAATTTATATTGAGTGATCGATAAATATAAAAAAAATATAGTAAATTATGATTAATAAAAAATATGATCCCGTAATAATTAGGACTAACTAATAATATTTCAACAATCACAATAGAGGCTAGGTTGTAGACAAAGTCAGACACTGAAAAGTACACATCATGCAATAACTGGGGAGCAAGGATCCTCGGCTGCCGTTTTCGGCAGCCGTTCCATCAGCCCCCCAAAACGACGTCGTTTTGGGGTTTTTTTGATTTTTTTTCTTTTCTTCTTCCTCGTCGAGCTCGACAGAACTAGAGGGGAGGGGAGGGGAGGGGAAGGAGAGAGGGGGGGGCTCGACAGAACTAGAGGGGAGGGGAGGGGAGGGGAAGGAGAGAGAGGGGGAGGGGAGGGGAAGAAGAGCCGCCGGTGGGCCGGACTGGAGGGGGCCATAACCAGTGGGGGAGGAGGAGGAGGAGGAGGAGGAGGAGGCGGAGGAGACGGCGGTGCGGCGGTGCTGCGACGGCCGGCGGCGAGGCGACGAGCTGCGACGGCGACGATCGGACCTCCCCCTCCCTCCTCCCTCTTCTCTCCCTCCCCTCCCCTCCCCTCTGGTTTTGGATCATCGAAGAGAGAGAGAGAGAAAACAAGAAGGAAGAAGAAGAAAGAAAAAAAAAAAAAAAAACCCCAAAACGACGTCGTTTTGGGGGCTGCCGGATAGGGCTGCTGGGTAGGGCGGCCGATGATCCAAATTCATTACTGGGACGTTACTCACATACATATGGATCATGAAAAAATATCACGAAAATAATCATGAAAGATTCTTCACCTTTAGATTACTCATACAATAAAACACCACACACTAATCATACATTAATTAAGGGATGAAAAATCTTCATGATAAATTTCATGATATATTTTTTGTGATCCCTAGCATTATTGATGATATTATGTATTAATGTGACGTAATATTATCATTAAATTTTTAAGTAAATTATTAATATATTTTAATAGTTAGATTTCATTTTTATCAAGTCTTATTAAATTGTCTCTAAAAATAATTTTTTGTGATAATGCTTGTCATTAAAAATTAATAATTTTAGTGACTTTTTTTGTCACAGTTTTTATAAATTGTTCCTAAAAACATATAATTATTGATATTTTTCTGTAATGAATTTTTTAAACTGTTAGTGAAAGTTAAAAATTTGTGACTTTTTTTATGATGATTTTTTTAAACTGTTAGTAAAACTTATAATTAGTGATATTTTTTGTAACAAAATTTTTAAACTATCAATGAAAATTAACAATTAGTCTTTTTTAACAATGTTTGATGAAAAAAGCCATCAATTATCATAGGACCTATTAGATAATAAATTCACTTATTAAGATCTACACATAAATCCCTCTAAATTTTTACTCAAATTTTGTACAAAAAAATTTATTTTATCATTATATAATTTATTTTAAGACTTAAATATATGTTTTTTTTTATATTGTCCATAATACACTAATTATAACTAACACTATCGTTTTGATTTTACTTAAAATTAATCATAAAATTTTATGTGAAATATTTTGTAATAATTTATTTAAATTTTTGAATTTAATATTAAATTAAAAATTATTAAATTTTAAAATTAGCGTAATTTATTTAAGCGTCTTAATTTAATTTTCTGATTCCGCAGCAAGGAGATGGAGGGCTAGGAGATGGAGGATAGATACTTACGACGATCTGTGCTTTGATCTCTTCCGAATGAGAGTAATGGAGTACCTTGTGTCTTTAAGCATAATGAGAACATCAAGTAAGTCCTCTTGATTTCTCTTTGTACCATCATTCCATTGTTTGATCCTCTCATCAATTATGGGATCTTGATATTTCACTACACTTGCAATGGCCTTCCTCATGATCTTTTCATGGCCATCCAAATCAAGACGACCTCTCAAGAATGGTAAATAATCAGAGACACAGAAAGAGTAAAGGTACGAAAGAATGGTGAAAAGCGCACCGATGTGCTCTTCTTCTTCAACACCTGGTCCTCCATCTTCTCGCCCGCGCCCGAAGAACCTCTTGTTAAAAATCATCCTCCTTATCACATTCCCGCAGTAGTGTTGTGCGACAACCCTTACGTTTACCACACCGCTTGTTGAAGAATTCATGCACATTTTGTACACAAAATTGACGAGATGATCAGCTTCTTCGGCTCTCTTGTCGTGAAGCCAAAGATGTCTAGCTGGTGAAAGGACATCAGAAGCGAGGACTCTCCTCATCTTCTTCCATTGTTCTCCCAAAGGCACAAGTGCGGTTGATAAGTATCCTCTACTCGCAATTTTTGCAGACAAACAATCAGGTCTGGAGGCGAAAACAGCGTCTTGTCTTTTTAAGAACTCTTGTGCGATTTCTGGAGAAGTGATTGGAATTACATGAATGTTGCCAACACGGATACACATTATCTCGACGTTCATTTCCTTCATCAGTTTGTGTATCCATCGGAATGTAGGCTTGTTTTTTAGCATTTCTGGGAGGTTTCCAATGAAAGGCCATGGTTTTGGCCCTGGAGGCAGCAAGTCTGTATTAATTTTCTTGCGAAAGAGCGAGAAAATCAATGCCATTAAGAGAAGAGTTGGGCATAAGCTCAAGAGAATTGATGGAATGGAAATGGTAGCCATTTCGAAGTGTAGAATGGGAATGTAGTAAGAGTCGAAATTTATGGCAAAGTTTGTGGCTACCACTACGAGTAAATTGTTAATGCTTTGTATGTGCTCAATAACACACATTTATAGTTGCCACTAACTAGGACTAATTTCATTTATGTAAATTACAGCCCAAAATTTAAGTGATGAGTTGGAGGACTCATCTTCTATAAGATTATTCTTTTCAATTTGACTTTCTTTTTTTCCTAAAAAAAAATTTAAGAAAAATTGGATGTTGGTATCGCTTTACACACACCTCAATTAATCTCGAGAATTGCTCACTTGCAAAGCTCATTTAAAACTGGAGCAGTTGAGCGACGGAATTAGATTTACAACTAATATATGCTTTATTTTATTGAATCGCCCACTTTCGTCATTATTGTATATATATATTTTAAATTTTGTTTTTATAAATATATATACATATATATAGTTTGTGGACCCTACACTTACTTATAGCATACTTTAACAAACATCTAAATACATCATTAGAGTACACACTCACTTTCTACATTAACAAACACTTGACTCATTTTTATTACTTTTTACCATATAATTCATACTTTAACAAACAAATTTAAAAACATCACTGGAGATGTTTTAAGAAAATACATGTGAAAGCCGCAAATGAGTGGATTAGATATTCTAATCTTTTTCTCCAATAGAAAAAGTAGACACTACATATATAGAGTTATACTATAGATCTATAATTTAGATTTTTAAATTTATCTACAATGATGTGGTAACAGAGGTAGACCCTACATAATTGACTACATAACAAATCAAAAATTAACATGTAATCTGCCACATTATTTTGAATCTATTTATAAGAGATTATTTGTTAGTCTTAAACATTTTTCATATATATATATTGCCAAAATCTTCCTTATCTTTTTTAGTTAGATTTTATTTATTTATTTATTTATGGTAATGCAATTTTACCCCTAATAACAATATTCACATTGATAGTGAAAATATTCAACAATGTGAACATTCACATTGTCAAATATGAATATTCCCAATACCAAATTACTAAGTGTTTAAAAAATATTTATAAAGATAAAATTATCCATAAAATGGAGAAATCTACAACGTGCACGTTGTAAGAAAGTTATGATTTTTTATGATAAATGTTATGATTATTTGTGATGTATGTTATGATATTTTGTGATAAAGTTATGAATAATGAATTCATGGTGTGTGTACGGTAAAGAAATATACTTTCTCGTATAATCCTGTTGACTAAGTCTGCGCTCCTCCGTACGACGTCGCTTTATCACCTGAAAACACAAACGTGAGCTGGCCGGCGGGTGTGTGCCGGAAACCTCTCCGATGCCTAAGCCACTTGTATATATATATTTTAAATTTTGTTTTTATAAATATATATACATATATATATATATATATATATAGTTTGTGGACCCTACACTTACTTATAGCATACTTCAACAAACATCTAAATACATCTTTAGAGTACACACTCACTTTCTACATTAACAAACACTTGACTCATTTTTATCATTTTTTATCATATAATATATACTTTAACAAACAAATTTAAAAACATCACTGGAAATGTTTTAAGAAAATACGATTAGATATTCCAATCTTTTTCTCCAATAGAAAAAGTAGATACTACATATATAGAGTTATACTACAGATCTACAATTTAGATTTTCAAATTTATCTACAATGATGTGGTAACAGAGGTAGACCCTACATAATTGACTACATAACAAATCAAAAATTAACATGTACTCTGCCACATTATTTTGAATCTATTTATAAGAGATTATTTGTTAGTCTTAAACATTTTTCATATATATATATATATATTGCCAAAATCTTCCTTATCTTTTTTAGTTAGATTTTATTAATGGTAATGCAATTTTACCCCTAATAACAATATTCACATTGATAGTGAAAATATTCAATACTGTGAACATTCACATTGTCGATGTGAATGTTCATATTGTCAATGTGAAGCTTCACACTGTCAAATATGAATATTCCCAATACGAAATTACTAAGTGTTTAAAAAATATTTATAAAAATAAAATTATCCATAAAATGAAGAAATCTACAACGTGCACGTTGTAAGAAAGTTATGATTTTTTATGATAAATGTTATGATTATTTGTGATGTATGTTATGATATTTTGTGGTAAAGTTATGAATAATGAATTCATGGTGTGCATCTTAAAATTAGAGATGATAATATTATGAGATTTTGTAATTTTTGTTATGATAGTTTGAAGTTTCGTTATGACACTTTATAATGAAAAAAAAGGGTTGATTTTTGTAGTAGAAAAGTTACGGTATTTTGTATTTAAGTCATAAAATTTTGGAAAATGTTATGAAAAACATACTGTGGGGATATATTTTTTGGATACCAACACGTGGCATGGCGACGCCGACGTGTCAGCCGAAGTGCCACGTGTTGTGGTAGTTACGCCGAGGTGATCTCGGAGTTGCCGAGGTTATCTCCGAAGATATCGGAATCCAAGATAAGCGGATAAGGGACAAGAGTCCTAGGACAAAGAGGAGACTTAGCTAAGATAAGGATAAAGCTCTTAGGGAGTTTATCTTTATCTCTTGAGAAATCCAAAGTAAGCACTAAATGGGAGTCCATAGAAGTCATGCTTCTAGTGGGACTAGGATTGAGTTGGCTATAAAAGAGAGGCACCCCCGTGGGTCTAAGGTACGCAGTTTTATACTCAAGCTTGTGAGTTTAGCACTTGATTATCTTTGAGAGATATACTGACTTGATCATCGGAGTGCCCCGAGTGGAAGAGCCACCGCCGGAGCCTTTTTCTTTCTGTTACAGGTTACTAAAGCCATCTATTCTGCCGGTGCTCTCCAGCTGATTACTAGGCGGGCAGTGTGGTAAGAAAATCGCCCACACAATTTGGCGCCGTCTGTGGGAATCTTAGAAGAATAGATGGCCAGTGACGGACAGAGGGAAAACATTGGGGGCGACACTCCTGTTGGGAGTGGTAGACCAATTGACCTTGACGTTGAAGGAGACAACCACAGTACAGAAAATCATGACCAGGGCCACGGAGAAAAAGACGTCGGCCAGGAGGGCGACGCTTCAAAAAAGACAAACCAAAGCAAGTACTATAACGAAGATAACCTTCAGGTTTGGAGGGATAGGTGCCTACGAAGGGATGAGGCAGTAAAAGACTTGGCAAACAAGCTGGCAGACCTACAGTCAGTGGTCAACTTCATGATGCAAAACAATGTTATGCAGTCACCATACCCGCTGCAAGATACGCCGATGCCAGCAATTAATACCCAGAAAGGAGGAAGAAAAGCAATCCCCGAAGCCCCTCAGCACACCAGGAGTGGAAGCCACTCTCACCAACCTTCTAGGGAAGTCGGACGAGAGGAACCAAGGCAAGAAGAGTCCCGAAGGACACATCGCATGAAGGATCCAGGGCCCAAAGAACATCGGCATATTCAAGGGCAAGCACTCTGCTTTGATACAACCCATGGAGAAAGATCAAAACAGGCCCACCACGAGGCCGAAAGTAGTGTGCCGAAAAGATTGAAGTCCAGAGATAGCCGAGCTCCAGGTAGGAGTAAGGAAGACTTGAGGGACTACTTCAAAAGGAGGCAGCAGAATGCTGAAGCCGAGGTGACTTCCAAAGTTAAGCCGAGAACACCATTCTCGGTGGAACTTGACAAATTTGAAGCACCAAAGAGATTCAGTATGCCGAGGTTCCAAATTTATGATGGTAAGTCAGACCCCAACTTTCATATTGGACTATACCTGAACTCAATGGCATTATACAGTGGGAACGAGCCATTGCTCTGCAAAGTATTTCCCTCATCCTTTGGGGAAATTGCATCCGATTGGTTCCATAAGCTACCAAAGGGAAACGTGAAGACATGGGAAGGCCTGGCTGAGATGTTTGTGGCCAGGTTTGTAACAAACAAACTACAGCCCTTGAGGGTCGACACCCTGATGGCTTTAAGAATCACCAAGGAAGAAGGCCTTAGGGCCTACGCGAAAAGATACTACGAGGTGTTCAATCGAATACCCGAATGCAACCAAGAAGTGGCGGTCGTATCTTTCAAGAACGGCCTCAAAGATGACTGCCCACTACGGAAGTCTTTGGCAAAAACACTGCCAAAAAGCATGGAAGAACTCATGGCAAGAATTAAGAAGTACGCCAGAGCCGAGGATGATACATCGGGAAACAAAGAGATAAAGTAGGAGAAAGGAAACGGCTCGCCAAAGCGAGGCCGAGGCAACAACGGACCGACCAAACACGAAACAGAATTAAAGGGTAAACATGCAGTGACGACGGTGTTCCGAATTCCTATCCATAAAGTCTTGGATCAAATACAAAACCAACCCTATTTCAGAACTCCAGTAAGAACACCAGGGGAATTCATGGGAAGAAACGTTGGTAGGCGTTGTGCTTACCACAATGAAGAAGGGCACCCAACTCAGGGTTGTAGAGCCCTAAAAGCACACTTAGAAGACTTGGTAAGACAAGGCCATCTGAGGGACCTTATTGATGAAGCCAGGACAAGAGAAGAACAGGCAAGATTGCCTCAAGCACCAGCAGCTCCACCACCTCTAGCACAGCAACCGTAGGCAGCAGGGCCAAGGGTGGTTAATGTGATCCACTCAAGGGTCAACGAGAACGAAGTCAGAGGAGAAACCCAGATGGTAAGGCATTTACAGCATGTCTACCAAATCGGGGAAAAAAGACCCCGGCCTGAAGAAAGCCAAGGACCAATGATAACCTTCACCGAAGTCGACCTAGAGATGGTCCAGCATCCGCATAATGATGCCTTGGTAGTATCCCTCCAGGTTGGGAAATGCCAAGTAAAACGCATCCTAATAGATCAAGGCAGTTCTTATGACATCATGTACGTCAGATGTTACAAGGAGCTGGGCCTTCATCCTGACGACCTGGAACAATCCAGCAA